ATTGGAGAAAATGTTGGAGATGTAGGGCTAGACAGCGTTCTTAGCATTGACACCGAAAACATAATCCATAAGAGAAAAATTGGTAAGTTGAATTTTGTCAAAATTTAAAACTTTTGCTTTGCAAAAAATCCACTAAGAGGATGAAAAGAACTGGGAGAATATATTTGCAAACCACATATCCAATAAAGAACTAATATCTAGGATATGTAAATAAGTCTCCAAAAATCAACAGTAAAAATAAACAATCAAATTAGAACACAGGCAAAAAACATGAAAAGACATCTTACTAAAAATGATATAGAAAGGGCAAATAAGCACAAGAAAAAAAAACCCTTTCAGCATTATCACCCATTTAGGGAACTGCAAATTAAAACCACAATGAGACATCACTACACATCTATCAGAATTACTAAAATATTGACAACACCACATGCTGACAAGGATGGAGAGAAACTGGGTCACTCATACATTGCTGGTGGGAAGGTAAAATGTTACACCCCCACTCTGGAAATGTTTGTCAGTTTCTTAAAGTAAACATGTGACTGACTACTATATGATCCAGAAATTATAATTGTAGGCATTTATCCCAGAGAAATGAGAACCTATGTTCACACAAAAATACATTCACTGATCTTTATAGCAGCTTTGTTTCTTTCTTGCCGTTTGATTACTTTAGTTATTTTTTTGCGAGACACGAGCTCTCCACTTCTGTTGCCCACAGGCCTAGAGTGACGTGCTGTTGGGCATCAGCTACGCCACAGCAACCTCAAACCTCCTGCTTAAGTGATCCTTGACTGCTCAGCCCCAAGTAGCTGGGACTACAGGCATGCGCCACCGTGCCCAGCTAATTGTACTAATATATATTAGTATGGCGCACTTGATTCTTCTATTGTATAATTTAGAGACGGGGTTCCCGCTCTCTGCCAGGCTGGTTTGAGACTCCTGACGCCTGAGCAAATCTGCCCACCAAGGCCCTCCCAGAAGCGCTAGGACTATAGTGTGAGCCACCGCCGCGCCCCTCGCCCATAGCAAGCTTTCTCTGGCTAAGCTAGCAAACTAGACTCGAACTGCCCAGATGTCTTTGGATTGTGAAATGGTTACACACACAATTGCAGTAATCCATACTCAAAAATTACTACCACAGCCAATCAAAAAGAAACGAACTACTGATATATACCACCGCAACCTGGATGAATTCTCACGCGAGAATTAATGCTGAGTGGCAAAAAGCCCAAATTCCTAAAGTTCGCATCGTATTGATCCATTATATACTACATTCTTGAGAAGCGAGGACAATATAAGATACATAAACAGATAGTTCCACCAGGGGGAAAGGAAGGCAGGGAAAGGGAAGGAAGTGTGTGGTAAGCTAAAATAGCCCAATTGAGGGCATTCCGTGTGATTGATACAAACTGCTTCGATCTCCTCATGTCCAATTTCGGTTCTGATGTTCGTACTACAGTTTTTTCAAGATGGTACTGTTGAGGGAGACTTTATAAGAGCGACACATGCATGCTTCCTCTGCTACACATTTCTCTGCAAATGCATGTGAATTTATAGTGATCTCAAAATAAAGTTTAATTGCAATAAACTCCTGAAATTTTAAAAATATCTTTGTCAGCTTCTCCACTTAAAAATAATAATTGAAAATATAATCTTTCTTTTTTCTTCTTCTTTTTTTTTTTTTAATCAATATCATTTGAACAATATTTTTTTTTTTTTTTTTTTTGAGCAGAGTCCTCACTCTGTTTGCCATGGTCTAGAGTGCCGTCTGCCATCAGCCTATGCTCACAGCAACCTCAAACTCCCTGGGCTCACAACAGTCTCACTCCTGGCTCAAGCCTCCGAGTAGCTGGCACTACAGGCAATGTCAACCATGCTGGCTAATTTTTTTCTATATATTCAGTATAGCCAAAATAATCTTCTTTCTAATTTATAGGTAGAGACGGCGTCTCGCTGTTCTCAGGCTTGGTTTTGAACTCCTACTCCTCGAGCAAGTCCTGCACCGCCCTCAGCTCCCAGAGTGCTAGGATTACAGGCGTGAGCCACCGCGCCCGGCCCTGAAATAGAGTTCTTATCAGTGGATCTGATCAGAGGTGCACATCTGGATCGGAAGATGTCAGATTCGGAGGAGCTTCATCAAGGCACGCACCAGATGCTTTCACATAGAAAACGAACCATGCTCACTGAGAAGCAACTGGAAGCTTTGAACATCCTGTTTAATGAGAACCCAAACCCAAACCCCAGCCTTCAGAAAGAGATGGCCTCAAAAATTAACATGCATCCAACAGTACTGCAGGTTTGGTTCAAGAACAACAGGGCAAAATTCAAGAAAGCAAAACACAAGAATATTCAGCAAAAACAAGCAGCTCAACAGCCACAGATACCTGAGGGTGGGGTCAAGACCAGTCCAGACAGAGAAATGCGGACACACAACCCAGATCCCCTACCGCCACCTATCCTGTAGCCCTCATTTATGCAGATCACCAGGCACCCTCATACCAACTCAGCTTATACCCCAATGTTAAAGTCCCTGTGGATGTCTTCCTTGGCCACAGAATAGTCCACTTTGGCTGCTGCAAAGATTCTAACATCTACTGCCTCTATTAACTCATTTTGGAATCTGGGTTGGTTAGCCATGCTTCGATCCTAATGTTTTTTGGCTGGTCAATTCTACAAAGTAGGGAGAGACACCAGATGTAAAAGGTCACATGTAACAATTCCCATTCAAGAGAACACTAGACGTAGACAGACACAACAACATGGATGGATTTCAGAAACATTGTGTGTTACAAAAAGACACAAAAGGCTACATACTATACAATTCCATTTCTATGAATTCCTAGAGCAGGAAAAAGATTAGTGGCTGCTCATGTGGAAAGAATTAAGTAGAGGCACAAAACAAATTTATTGGGGTGATGGAAATGTTTCATGTCTTAATTAGGGCGGGAGTTACCTGAGGGAATAAATTCATCAAAACACTGAGAACTGTACATCTAAATGTACATCTGTGCATTTTATTTCACATTAATTAAACCTCAATAAAGAATATATGAGAAAAAAATGAAAAATAAATTATAAATTGCCAAAATTGACTCAAGACATATTAATAGAAATCTCAACAGATCAGTAATTAGGGATTAGAAAGGTATTCAAAAAGCTATCTCCCAAATGGCATCAGATCCAGATGGGTTTATAGGTGAATTCCACCAACGATTTAGAACAGAAAATCCCTATGATCTATAACTGTTCCAGAGAATACCAAGTTTTCTAACTTATTTTACAAGGCTAGCATAACCCCAATCACAAAACAAACAAGCCAACAAAAAAACAAAGATCCCCAAAAGAAATCTACAGACCACTCCTATTTTCTAACTTAGCTGTAGAAGTTCTAAATAAAATGTGAGCAAATCAACCCAGAATCATATTAAAAGAATAATTCATAATGACCAAGTAGGTTTAATTCCAAGCATTCAATGATGCAAAATTTGAAAAATACATTAATACACGTAATTCAAGACATTGACATCTGAAGAAAGTAAAACACACGATCTCTTCAGTAGATGCCAAAGCATATGAGTCGCTTTTCCATGTTTGAAAAATTCTTCCACTTAGGGATGTTTGGAGAAGCAGAGCATGCATACTATTACAGAAGCTGAAAATGCCAGATACTTGCTTTTCCCCGACTCCCTTGCAGCTAAGTCACAGCCCATGACCAATCAGACTCACTCAGACTTTGAATTAGGAGTTAGTATCACAAAGGAATAGGGATGGTATGGGATTTCTCCTCCGCAGCAAGGGAGGCTGTGGCAACACAGACCTTCTGGCTCAGCAGTGCAAGCTTCAGTGCCCTGGTCTTGCAGCAGGAGCAGTGTTTTGCTCACCAGACTGGTTCTGCAGCCTGGGTCTGGGCTCTGTTCCTGGCTGCATAGCTCCATGTCTAGTTCTGAGAAGTCTGTGAAGTGTGTGAAGTAAGAATTCATTTTAATGAATTCCTTTGCAGCCTATTTAGCCAGAGCACTTTCCGTTGCTGACAATTAAAAATTCTGATACTAATGCAGTAAAAATCAACAGCTTTGGGGTCCTTACCATCATTGCTTCTCTCTAGGCAATCTTCCACCTCACTTTCTCATACTAACTGCCTTATTTTTTCAACATTTTCCAATACTTTTTGCAGCTGGAAAATTATATAAATAGCAAGTCTAAGGCTGGCCACAGTGGCTCACGCCTGTAATCCTAGCACTCTGGGAGGCTGAGGTGGGAGGCTAAGGAATTTGAGACGAGCCTGAGCAAGAGCAAGACCCCATCTCTCTCTCTCTCTCTCTCTCTATATATATATATATATCTCCAGTCTATGAATTAACTGGCTCAAGTATCTGGTCACCCATTGTAAGCAGAGAGGGGCAGACTCAGGCAGGTGCATGGTGCTCCTTCTGGGGAACAGTAAAGGGTGCATTTTCATCATTAGAAGGGACAGTGGACCAACACATGGGGTGGTTGACTTTCTGAAATAGACACCTTACCCAGTCTTGGGAAGTCAGAAAAGACTTTCCAGAGGAAGAAACTCTGAGCTGGAACTTGCCAGATAAGTAAGAGTTAGGCAGAAGGGTTGAAAAGGGGTGAGTGGAAAGTTCAGGTACAGGAAAGAGAATGATCAAGAAAGAGGGGGCCGGCTGTGGTGGCTCACGCCTGTAATCCTAGCACTCTGGGAGGCCCAGGTGGGTGAACTGTTTGAGCTCAGGAGTTCCAGAACAGCCTAAGCAAGAGTGAGACCCCGTCTCTAATAAAAAAAAAAAAATAGAAAGAAATTGGCTGGACTACTAAAAATATATAGAAAAAAATTAGCTGGGCATGGTGACACATATCTGTAGTCCCAGCTACTTGGGAGGCTGAGGCAGGAGGATTGCTTGAGCTCAGGAGTTTGAGGTTGCTGTGGGGTAGGCTGACACCACAGCACTCTAGCCCACACAAAAAAAAAAAAAAAAAGAAAAGAAAGAGGGTAGAATGGTAAAAGGTGAGGCTGGAGAGGCACGCAAGGGCCAGATCTCACAGGGTCCTGTAGGCCATGCTAGGGACTTTAGACTTCCTCCGGAGATCTGTAAGGAGCCACTGGGAAGCAGAAGGGTATGAGCAAATTTGCATCTCTGAAAGACCACACTGGTGGAGAATGGACAGAAAAAGGGAAATCAGAGAGTTGGGACACCATTAAGGTGGCTGATGCAGGGATGCAGCAGGGAGAATGATGGTGCCCAGGACCACGAGTGGTGGCATTGGGCATGGAGAGTAGATAGAGGGAAAATGGAGATAAAAATCTACAGAACTTGGTGATGGGCTTGGATGTGGGGATGTGGGGATGAAGGCTGGGAGGAGTTAGAGGTGGCTATCAGGGACCTCGTTTGTATTGACTGAATGGTTAGGTCAATGAGTAGACAAGGGTACCATTCACCAGGATGAACAAACACAGGAGGAGAGGCTATTTGGAGAGAGATGATGAGCTCAATTTTGAACATATGTTTTAGTGCCTATGGGACATCCAAGTAGAGAAGTCCAAAAGGCAGTGGGCACATGTGTTTGGGTCTCAGGGGTCTGGACTGGAGGTCCAGGTCTGGACTAGAGATACAGATTTGAGAATCACTGGGGTAGAGGTGGTGGAAGGTATAGGCGTGTTGGCAAGGGAGTGAATAAGGACAATCTTGGGTGGTTGCGTAGTATAAGAGAAGAGCCAAAGAACAAACCATGGGGCAAGTTAACTGCTCAGGAAGGGTGGAAGAAGAGGTATCCATGAAGGAGATTGAGAAGGACCAACCAGACAGGTAACAGGGAAACCAAGAAAATTACAAGGTCATATGTCACAGAAGCCAAAAAGCCAAAGGGAGAATCCCAAGGAGGGAGCAGCCATGGGTAAGCAGTTGGCAGGAATCCAGTGGGGTCACCATGGAGAAGTGTCCAGTGCACGCAGAGGAATGGAAGGCACCAGTGACCGTGGCGAGAGCCAAGTCAAGGGAGTAGTGGGGTGGAGAAATCAGCCTAGCGTGGAGTGAGAAGGCAGAGGGAGGTGGGGCGGGAGAGAATGAAAATTAGGCAACTCTAAGAACACAGCTGGAAGGGGAAGAGAGGTGGCATCTGGAGAGGTTCTCAAAAGATGGAGGGGGTGGTGGTTGGAGGAGTCTGTGGAAGGGAAGCGGAGAGAGTAGGGCAAAGGGAGTGCCTGGGGGAAGCTGTGGAGGGAGGTGATAAGGGCCTATGTCCCAGGGGACACTGTTCCCCGGCTCACAGGAGTCCCTATCAGGCTGGCGTTTCCTCCCCATCTCCAACCCCTTCCTGCCCCTGGCCAAACCCTCCCTGGGGCTGGAAGAGAGAAGGACCAGTCACACCCTGTAAGCAGCTCTGTGCCTTCGGAGGTCTTTCTGCACCTGCCTGTAAGCCAGGGCTGGGGCTGGGGCTGGGGCTGGGGCTGGGGGAGGGATGAGAGCTGAGGACCTGGAGCTGGCAGTCTGGGCTCTGGGGGCGAGGGTGGAAGAGGGGAGCAGGGAGGACAGAACTGTGGCAGCTGAGTTTCTGGAAGGGAAGCTATGGGGTACTGGGGGCTGAGGGAATGCCGCTGGGGACTGCTGGGGTGTCCACTCAAGGCCCACTTGCCCACAGGTCCCCATGCCTCTCCTGCTCTTGCTGCTCCTGCTGCCAAACCCCTTGCACCCCTGTGAGGTCACCAAAGTGACCAGCCAAGTAGAAGTGAACTGTGATAACAAGCAGCTGACAGCATTGCCTCCAGACCTGCCAAAAGACACAGCCATCCTCCAACTGGGTGAGAACCCCTTGCACACCTTCTCCACGGCATCCCTGGTGTCTTTCCCTCGCCTCACTCAGCTGCACCTACGTCAGTGCGAGCTGGCCAAGCTGCAGACGGATGAGAAGCTGCCACTGCTGGAGACCCTGGATATATCCCACAATAAGCTGCAAAGCCTACCCCGGCTCGGGCCAGCACTGCCTGCTCTCAGGTCCCTGGACGTCTCCTTCAACCAGCTGACCTCGTTGTCTCCAGGTGCCCTGGATGGCCTGAGCCAACTCCATGAGCTCTACCTGCGTGACAATAAGCTAAAGACTCTGCCTCCAGGACTCCTGGCACCCACACCCCACCTGAAGAAGCTCAATCTAGCTAACAACGGGTTGGAAGAGCTGCCCTCTGGGCTCCTGGATGGGTTGGAGGACCTGGACACTCTCTACCTCCAAGGGAACTCACTGAGCATGATACCGAAGGGCTTCTTTGGGACCCTCCTTCTGCCGTTTGCTTTTCTCCACGACAACCCCTGGCACTGCAACTGTGAGATCCTCTATTTCCGTGGCTGGCTGAAGAACAATGCCCAGAATGTCTACTTATGGAAGGAGGGTATGGATGTCAAGGCCATGACCCCCGATGTGGCCAGTGTGAAGTGTTCTGATGCAGGCAAGGTACCCATCGAGAAGTTCCCAGGGAAGGACTGCCCCACCCTTGGTGATGCGGATGCCATGGACTACGATTACTATACAGAAGAGAACACTGAGGGTGGTAAGGTGCATACCACAAGGACTGTGGTCACCACAGCCCATGTAACCCACTGGGGCCTACTCTACTCACAGTCTACTGCTTCTATAGACAGCCAAATGTCTTCCTTGCATCCAGTACAAGAATCCACTGAGACCCAGACTGCATTCCCAACCAGATGGATCCCAGATTCCACCACATTCCCAACTACCACGACATCCATCGCATTCTCCCAAACTCCAAAACCCACTAGTAAACCCACCATAACCCCCTCCCTCCCAGAGCCCTCCACAGCCCCGACCACCCCAGAGCCCTCCACAGCCCCGACCACCCCAGAGCTCTCCACAGCCCCGATGACCAGCCCAGAGCCCTCCACAGCCCCAACCACCCCAGAGCCCTCCACACCCCCGACCAGCCCAGAGCCCTCCACACCCCCAACCACCCCAGAGCCCTCCACACCCCCAACCACCCCAGAGCCCTCCACACCCCCAACCACCCCAGAGGCCACCACAACCTTGACCACCAGCCCAGAGCCCACCGCAGCCCTGACCACCACCCCAGAGCCCTCCACAGCCCCAAACCCCATCATATTCTTAACTACCATAGAACCCACCTCATTCTCTACTACCTTAGAACCCATCGTAACTATCATCCCTGAATCTGTCCACCATGGGGTGGCTCAAGGGAATTTAGATAGCTCCAGAAATGGCCCTTTTCTTAACCCTGACTTTTGCTGCCTCCTCTCCCTGGGCTTCTATGTCTTGGGTGTCCTCTGGCTCCTGTTTGCCTGTGTGGTGCTCATCCTGCTGCTGACCTGGCTCCAGCGCGTGAAACCACAGGCCCTGGACAACGGCCTGGGTGCTGCTTTGGCCACAGCCACGCAAACCACACATCTGGAGTTGCAGAGGGGAAGGCAAGTGATGGTGCCCCGGGCCTGGCTGCTCTTCCTTCGAGGCTCACTGCCCACTTTCCGCTCCAGCCTCTTCCTGTGGATCCGGCCTAATGGCCGTGTGGGGCCTCTGGTAGCAGGACGGCGGCCCTCAGCTCTGAGTCAGGGTCGTGGTCAGGACCTGCTGGGCACAGTGGGCATTCGGTACTCTGGCCACAGCCTCTGAGGGTGGGAGGTTTGGGGACCTCAAGAGGCTCTGATGGGCTGTCCTGTTGGGATCTAGCTGGGGGTGGGGGTGGGGGGTGGGTGAGGAGCACGGGGTCATGGGGCCATCTTCACACTGCACACACAACCTCAGAGCCAGCAAATCAGGAAGGGCCGAGAGATGGAGGAGTTGGGTGGCTCATAGGACAAAGCTCTCTATGCTGCACAGGGTGTTGCCAGATCACATGGCTGTCACCACTGTGTTTGGGAAGAGTTTTTAGGAAAAGCAAATAAGCAGAGCAGAGCGTGGCTCCCACATGCATCTGAGCACAGAAGACAATTCAGGGAGCCATGTGTCAGGTTGTGAGCACTCGATTGTCTCTGGGTGTTATAAATATGGGTGGTTTTCTTTTCTTTTTCTCTGTTTAGCATTTTCTAGTTTTCCATCATCATTGTATATTATTTGTATAATAAAAAATAATTTTAAAAAGAAAATTTAGTTTCTTTGGAGAGGGAAAGAGTGGCTGGGGCACCTGTCATGAGGATTCCCAAGGCCCCAGGTGCCCCCACCCTGGTCACAGCTACTCACCCAATAAACCTCCCCAGCCTGGGGCACCTCCTTCTGTCCTCCAGGGTTGGCTACCCACCAGGCCACCCCAAGCATCAGGTCCAATTCAAGAACCTTAAGTCTCCCTGGAGTTTAGGGACACTATTGAGGCCTACCTTGCTGCAGCCTGCGGTACTAAGGGCAAAGGGTCCCACCTTGGAAGTGCAACTCTCCTCACTGCCCAGGTCAGGAGGATGAGGGTGTGGACCCAGCAGTGTGTGCCATCTCAGAGGGTTTGACTGAACAGTCTTGGGTTTCCTGCCCTCAAGCTAGAACACAGGCAAATGGAACCCACTTCTCTCCCCTGCTTCCACAGGGTCTGCCATCCCCTAACCACATGGGTGAGGCTTCCTCTCCTGCCTTGTCTCCGACCCAAACCAGGGCTAGGGGCCCAGGGAATGGGAGAGAAGGCTGGGCTTTTCTGGCTCCATGGAGACCCCTCTCCTTCTGATGGTACTGAAGGATCTGCCTAACCTGAAAATCTGACTGCATCTCTCCCTGCTTTGAATTCCTCCCCAAGTAGAGGACAAACTCCTGAGCTTAGCAGTCACTTCTGAGCTTGGTCAGTTCCATGCACTGACCCCATCTAACAGTTCGGCTTCCCCTCTCACAGCAGACACGTCGCAATCCTCGCTGCAACTATTGCCAACTTCTCGTGGATCACCTGCTCCCCATCAAAGTTCTCCAAGCCTTTGCCCTCACTCTAGCTAGGAGTGCAGTCCCCACCTGTCCCCAACCGCTGGGTAGGTGTCTCCTAGGCTGGGCTGGGTGCTCTCAGGTAGCCTGCAGTGGTCTATTGCTATACTCGACTTCCCAACTGTTCCTGCATAATCTTCCCCTTTAGAGCAGGAACTCCTTAAGGACAAGGCCCAGGACATGGTGTGCATGCAGGGGCAAGAAGGAAGGCAGCAGCAAGGGTGCCAGGGTGCTGAGCTCCACCTCTTCTGTTGACAAGGCTCTGCCAAGGCGACAGCTCCCACCTGCTGCCTGCCTGTCCTCTGGCCTGGCACGGCACAATGCTCTCTGGCTGCATGCTGCCCAGCACTCCTCTGTTTGACCTTCCCATGCCCGTGTATACTCCAGGAAGTTTTTAGGGTCCTTAAGGGCCAGGCCTAGGAACCAAACATCTCCCTCTAAACAAAGGACAAGGTAGTCACTCTCCCCAGCCTAGCCCCAGATTCAGTCTCTGGCCAACACCCTCCTTTTTCTCAAGCCTCCAGGCTTCAGGCCTGGCTCCAGCCCACAAAGGTCTCACTTCCCTTCACAGAAGTTCTTTATTCCCCTCCCCCCACCTTTAGGCTGCAGAAGCAGTCACCAGACCCCCCGGGCTTTTCCTGGGGATTATGTGAGATGATTTGTGTGTCTGCTGCATTCTTGGGCAAGCGGCTAGAAAGCAACACACAGGGCCTGGAGGCCGGGGTTTCCTGGCCCTGTCAGCTGCTGTGGCAGGATGGATTTACACAGCATTTGCACAAAAATCGGCGGGTGCTTTTTCTTTAATAATTTTTCTTAAAAACTCCAGTTCCTGTTCTCCAAGGGCACCAGCTTCTTTGTCCAGTCTCCTCCCCTCCTAAACCCCACAACTCTCCAGATTGGGGGTAGTATCATCAATCCAATTTATTAAGTCCTCAATGAGGGGGAGGAAGGGCCATGTCTTTCCACTTCAGACCCTTTGACCATCTTGTTAGCTTCTGCTCTCTCCTGTCCCCTCACCTCTGCCTTGGTTTCTCCACTGAGAAGGGAGATCTTCTCTTGTGCTGTGTGCCCTGAAACTAACACCCAAGAGGAGGCCAGAAATCCTCAGGGAGTTCTCAGCTCCCCTCCAAGGAACAGCCAGCAGAGTGAGTGCTCATAGGATCAGGGCAAGCAGGGCAAGCTGGAACAGGGGGCAGAAGAGACCAAAGTCCTTTACCGCAAAGGAGGAGACCACACTGTGGAGGGGAAATAAATAGAGGGGCCCAGGCCAGCAGAGTCCAGGCGCCTGGGGTATAGTGACTGTGGGAGCAGCGGCCGAGTGGCAGCCCTGGCACACTGGCTCCAGGCCACCTCAGCCGCTGAGAAAGAGACGCTTGTAGACCTTGTTCATCTGCTCCAAGAAGATGAAGGTGAGGACAGTGTGGGGGCCCAGGCGGGCATAGTACGGTGTGAAGCCCTTCCACAGGCTGAAGAAGCCCTCGTAGCGGACAACCTTCAACAGCACATCCTAGACAGACAGGCAGGCGGGGTGTGGGGGCTAGGACCTGGCCTCTACAGCTCTGTTCCCCTTATCCAGCTACCTTCACAGCCCTCCCAGGGCACCCAACACTCCCACCCAGGCCCAACCTCGCTTCCTCACCAGCCCATTCTTGTATTCTGGCTTCCCATCAATCATTCGCATGTTCTGGATCCTGAAAGAGAGGAGGTAGGGATGTGAGAGAGAAGGGGGCCCCCCCACTGCCCCCCAGGCCCAGGCATGCACACTCACCGCGTCTTAGCAATGTCCACAGGCATGGAGGCGGCAGTGGTGACGAGGCCGCTGATCATGCTGGCGCAGAAGTGGCACAAGATGTTGTCAGAGAAGTAGCCTGGGGGGTGAAGTGAGGGTGGCAGTCAGCTCAGAGGTGGCCCAGGCCAGGCTGGAAGCTGAGAGCCCAGCTCTGGGTCTCACCTGAGTCCAGCAAGAACTGCTTCGATTGGGAGTAGGAGGCCAGCTGGGCAGCATTGACGACGACAGCCCGAGCCATGGTAGGGATGCAGCCCTGGAGGTAGCGGAGTGAGAGAAGAATCAGAAATGCCTGAGACCTGACCCCCACACCCCACATCCTTCACCACTCAGCTTCACTCACCCGCCACAGTGTGGGGACGCCCTCTTCCCGGGCAATTCGAATCAGGGCATTAAACACGTTTTTGTAGCCACGGCGCTGGTCAGCTGGAAGCCTGGTGGGAAGTCAGAGAAAGACCAAGATCAGGAGAGCCCACCCTGCCCACAGGAGCAAAGAAAGGGAGACCAGAACAGGCAAATGCTCTGTTCTAGATCTAGAATAAGAAACTGGTCTTTTCGTCCTGGATTACAGGGAATGGGGCTGGGGAAGGCTCAGACCTGGAACTCACCGGCCATCAGCAGTCATGCGAATAAGAGCCACCTCGGCTGGTGTTCCCACAAAAGCACCAGTTGCACCTGCGGTCATGCCAATCAGAGCCTTCATCAGAAAGCCAGGGGGTGTACCATCAGCCCCAGTCAGGCGCTCAAACAGCACAGTATAAATGCCAAGGCGAGTAGTGGTGTAGGTGGCCTGGCGCAGCAGGCCAGCTGATAGCCTGGGAAGCAAAGTGGTATGTCAGACCAAGGTCTGGAGCTGCCAACCCACACCCTACCCCCCATCCTGAGGCCCCAGTACCCGGTGTAAATGCCCCCCAGGCCTTCTGCCTTCAGGATGCTGGTGAGGGCATGGAAACTAGTTTTGTACTCCCGAGTCTTGGCTCCTTCACCACTCAGCTGCATCCGGTTCTTCACCAGGTCCAGAGGCTGCACAAAAACTGTAGCTCCCATCCTGGGGGAAGAAGGGGTGGAGTCAAGGGCCAGGTTTCCCAGATCTACCAATGCCCACTAGAGACTGCCAGCAAAGAGTTACAACGGTCATGCAATTAAGGATTCAGGAAGCTGGTGAGCATGTGTAGAAGAGTCTGTGTGTGTACCAAGAGCAATGAGTCTGTAAAGTCCAAAAGTCCAGTAGGGGCCATGCAATGAAAGTGCTCCGAGTAGCTCCATGAGTCAAGAATTAACCCGGGACCGCATGCAGTCCGACGCAGGAAAGGAAAGAGGGGGTGCATCCACGACCTGAGACTCCGAGTAGTCCTGCAGGAGCCATCCAATGACCCGGAACCCCATACAGCCAAACAGAGCTAAGCAATGGGCTGGGAAACTCAAGTGGGCTGGCGGGGGTTGTGCAATGACCCTGCATGCAGTCCAGCAGGGGCCGGCCCTACAATGGGCTCTTGGCAGCCCATCAGGGACCTCACAAAACACTAGGGATCGCGCTGACCCCGTGCCGGCTCAGGTCACTGCAAAAGACCCAGAGATAAACCGGGCCCGGTTCCTTGCTCCCATCCCTTCCTCCTCCTTTCCCATCCCTGGGGCCTGAGCTTACCCGGCCAGGCCCCCGAACAGGAACTTGACGGACTTAGGGGAGGTACGGGGCTTCCCGTCTACCCCGCCGGCCCCGGGACTAGCTGTCACCGCCATCGCCACTCAATGGCCCCTGGCTCCAGGTCCCGTGCGCGCGCGGCCCCGCTCGCGCCCAAGGTGACACCGCGCGTGCAACAGGGCGAAGGCGCGCGCGCACACCCCTCCAGCTCTCAGGTCCGGCACCAGCTGGAAGCTGGAGCGAGCGCAGGCGCGCAGCGCAAGGCCGGCCGGGAATAAGGTGGAGCTGAAGGAGGAGCTTGACGGATGCATGCGGGAAGGGGTGTGACTGATTTAGGAAACCGGAGTACAGACGCACTTTTTACCGGATTGCAATCGCGGGAAAAGAGAGAAGAGTTTGTTTGAAGATCTCGCGAGATCGGGAGAGTCAGACTGGCCAAAGTTAGATCTCTCGCGATAGATATAGCAAGATTTCGGCTGCCGGGGGTTGGGGCGGAGGTGGTGAGCAGTCTCGCGAGACTTGGAGGTACGGCGGCGGCAGCCAGAGGGAGGAAAGGTTTGTAAACAGGGCAACCCCAAGATCTTGGGCACTAAAGTGGGGACGATTAGGGCATCTTCTGAGGCGTTGGTGCTCCCTCCAACTCCACAGGCACTCCCTCCACTTCTAACCTTTCTTTTAACCAGCCTTTTAGGACCGGAAGTCCATTTCGAGCGTCCAATGCTGGAAGCGGCCTGACTTTCTTTACCGGAACCCCTTTTCTAGGGGATAGGAAGACGGACTACCTGGCCGGAAGTCCCACCTCTTTGAGCTCCCCCACCCTTCCAGAAGTTTTTCTGTCACCTGTGTTGGTCTCCGTCCCTTTCCCTGTTTTATCTCTATACCAGGAAAGGATACATTTAGTGTTTCCCTCCCAGCTCCACTGAGCGGCATAGATATCTCACCTCCCGAATTGGGATTTCTTCTCTGGCGCCCCCATGTAGCTGGGAAGTGGGACCTGGGGGTGGTTGGACCCCTGGGATCCTAAAGGAGGAGCAGGAGGGCGCAGAACTCCCGCTTCTGCTCCTGCTACCAAGACGCGGCCTTCTTAGCCTCTCCCCTCCCGCTGCCATGCACCCTGCGGCCTTCCCGCTTCCTGTGGTTGTGGCCACTGTTCTGTGGGGAGCGGCCCCCATTCGAGGGCTCATTCGAGCGGTGAGTCTGAGGGGCGGGTAGGGGAGGGCGCTGAAAGTAGGGGTTGCAGGCTCAAGGGGAACACGCTTTTTTGTCCGCAGACCTCGGACCACAATGCCAGCATGGACTTTGCAGACCTCCCAGCTCTATTTGGGGCTACCCTGAGCCAGGAGGGACTCCAGGTGATTTCCTTCTCTTTGTTTCTATTTCACAGAATCCTCAATTCTGAGTAGGGGTTGGGAGCCTTGTCCTGGGTGAAGCTGATGGTAGGAAGAGTTAAGTTAGGAACCAAGTGCACGAGCATGTTTAGTGTAGAATCCAGAATCTTGAGGGAGAAGTCAAAGTGTCCACCCCTGGAACTTGCAGCATATCAGGGAGACAGAAAGTGGACTGAGAAAGATAAAAGGCACGACCAAGTTAGTGCTTATCAGTAGGGTGTCAGGAGCCAGTTATTAGTTCTTATGACCTTGAGCAAGTTAATTATCTCTATGAGCTTTAATTTGTTTTACTGTAAAATGGGACAATAGAAGTTATCTTAGGGTTATTGTGAGGATTAAATTATATAATTTTGTGGTACTTCATCACAATGACTGCCACATAGCAAGAACTCAGTTGGGTCATAGGTAGCAGTAGAGTTGTTTGTGAGATGGGTAACTGGAAGATTGAAGATGGGGGAGCGTGTTCTGTATGAGTAGTGTATACTGGAAAGGGGAGTGTGAAACAACTTGAGAGAAAGTGACAAGGATGGGTAGAGAACTGAATTACAGTCGGTGGGGAACTGGAAGGCAGAATTGAATTAGCCTGAAGTACAGGGTACAGGTTAGCCCATCTGGGACAGGGAGACAGTTAAGGGGAGGGTCTGGGGAAGAGATGTTTGATGTAATTGCATTTTCAGGAGGCTAAGGGAGGTAGACTTCTGACTTGGGTGTGATGCTCAGACCCCAGGAATGAGAAGGAAGTGAGGATAGAGAATGCAACATGTGAGACCAGTGTGCTTGGTGGGCCCTGTGGAGAGCAGAACCTAGGGACAAGAAATCTATCAGTTTGCTTCTCTTCCCCAGGGGTTCCTTGTGGAGGCTCACCCAGACAATGCCTGCAGCCCCATTGCCCCACCACCCCCAGCCCCGGTCAATGGGTCAGTCTTTATTGCACTGCTTCGAAGATTCGACTGCAACTTTGACCTCAAGGTTGCTGAATATGGAGTGGGAGCTGGGAAGCTGAGGGTGAAAAAAGGCACCACAGGAATGAAGAGGGGCAAGGCCCATGGTGGCTCCTTATCCTATGCCTTGTCTCCCTAGGTCCTAAATGCCCAGAAGGCTGGGTATGGTGCAGCTATAGTACACAATGTGAATTCCAATGAACTTCTGAACATGGTGTGGAATAGTGGTAAGGTTGGGAGATCTAAACAGCTGGGTTTTCAGTAGAGCTTAGACTGAGAGATGGTGGGAGGGTTGAAGCCTTAGGGAAAAGAAGCCAATCTTTTGGGTAGGATGGGGCAAAAGTGCCAAATGCCAGGGTTTACAAAGGATTTGAGGATTGGAAGGTTGAGTCCCTGGAGTAATACCCTGATCCCTACAGAGGAAATACAGCAGCAGATTTGGATCCCATCTGTGTTTATTGGGGAGAGGAGCTCTGAGTACCTGCGTACCCTCTTCGTCTACGAGAAGGGGTAGGACATGTCCCTCCCTGCCACTCATCCTTCAACAGTTCCATGCCAACTTGGAGCTCAAGCCACACTGCCCCATCCATTCAGTCTCAGGTCCTTCCTTCTTTCCTTGACTCCTGACTTTCTTCCCACTCCCTTCCCCACCCATGGGCCTTGTCCAGAGCCAGTTATTTTGACCCTCTTCCTTTGTGCCTTTGCCTTTTTGCCCCTGTGAGACTGGTCTTCCTTTCCCAGGGCTCGGGTGCTTCTGGTTCCAGACAATAGCTTCCCCTTGGGCTATTACCTCATCCCTTTCACAGGGATAGTGGGACTACTGGTTTTGGCCATGGGAGCAGTGATGGTGAGTAGCTCAGGGAGCATGATGGGAAGACCTGGGGCCTATAAGGCCAGACTGGATCTAGAGTTGGGAGGTGGGGGTGGTTTGTCCTAGATTGTTCAGTGTTACTTCCTAAGCCTGATCTATCCACTCCCGCTTTCCCCAGATAGTTCGTTGTATCCAGCACCGGAAACGGCTCCAGCGGAATCGACTTACCAAAGAACAACTGAAGCAGATTCCTACGCATGACTATCAGAAGGGTGAGGGGCTTAGGGGAGAGGAGGGCCTTTTCCACAGCTTACCTGGTTCTGAAGGAGTTTGAGCCCAGAAGATAAGGGGTGGGCAAGCTAGCAGTGAGAAGATATCTGCCTGAAAAGCCATTATTTATTCTCTGTGTACCCACAAATACACTGACAGAAGAGCTGGAATACAGGAGATAGAAAACAAAGATGTGGCCAGGCGCAGTGGCTCATGCCTGTAATCCTAGCATTCTGGGAGGCCAAGGCAGGCGGATTGCTCAAGGTCAGGAGTTCGAAACCAGCCTGACCCAGAGCGAGACCCCGTCTCTACTAAAAATAGAAACAAAGTAATTGGCCACCTAGAAATATATAGAAAAAATTAGCTGGGCATGTTGGCGTATGCCTGTAGTCCCAGCTACTCAGGAGGCTGAGGCAGAAGGATTGCTTGAGCCCAGGAGTTTGAGGTTGCTGTGAGCTAGGCTGATGCCACGGCATTCTAGCCCAGGCAACAGAGTGAGCTCACGCCTATAATCGCACTCTGGAAGGCTGAGGCGGGTGGATTGCTTGAGGTCAGGAGTTCGAAACCAGCCTGAGCAAGACCCCGTCTCTACTATAAGTAGAAAGAAATTAATTGACCAACTAATACATATAGGGAAAAAAAATTAGCCAGGCATGGTGGCGTGTGCCTGTAAGTCCCAGCTACTCGGGAGGCTGCGGCAGTAGGATCCCTTGAGCCCAGGAGTTTGAGGTTGCTGTGAGCTAGGCTGACACCACAGCACTCTAGCTCGGGCAACAGAGCGAGACTCTGTCTCAAAAAAAGAAAGCAAAGATTGTTAAGTGAAATAGTTGGGGGAAATGATGGGGGGACAGACAGACCTTGCTTATAAGGAAAGTGGAGAAAGTAGAAAAATGGAAAGAGTGGGGAGGCTTCAGTCAGAAAAGGAAAAAACAGGTGAAGAGGGGCTGGGTCTTTAGGCCCTGGAGCCTTCAGTGCCCATATAAGGCTGTAGCAGAAGCCCTGCCCCCCCACTTCCGCTCCTCCCCTTCCCTCTCTCCACCCTCACACCTCCCCAAAAACCCACTTCCCTTCTTACCTCTACTTCTCTTTGCTTGTCCCCTGTAGCCCCAAATTCTTCCATGTTCTGCCCTGGCCTTATCCTACCTCCTTGTCTTAACTCTTCCACTGGCTCTGTAGACCAGGGAAAAGAATTTTTGCAAGACTTAGCTGTACCACAGGCCTGCCAGAGTGAGTTCTTGGGGGCTATGGTTCAGCATGGCTCAGTGGTGGATTAAATTATTTTCCTTCTCCTTCAGGGGACCAGTATGATGTCTGTGCCATCTGCTTGGATGAGTATGAGGATGGGGACAAGCTGCGGGTACTCCCCTGTGCTCATGGTGAGGCCCTTGCTGCCTGTGCCCATGCCCCTGTGCCACCGGCAGGCTCCAGGTGCTTCATTCACCTCATTCCTCTCCGCAGCCTATCACAGCCGCTGTGTAGACCCTTGGCTCACTCAGACTCGGAAGACCTGCCCTATCTGCAAGCAGCCTGTTCATCGGGGTCCTGGGGATGAGGAGGAGGAAGAAATTCAGGGGCAAGAGGAGGGTGATGAGGAAGGGGAGCCAAGGGACCACCCTGCCTCAGAACGGACCCCACTCCTAGGCTCCAGCCCCACTCTTCCCACCTCCTTTGGTTCCCTAGCCCCAGCCCCCCTTGTTTTTCCTGGGCCTTCAACAGATCCCCCATCCTCTCCTTCCTCCTCTTCCTCTTCCCTTTCCCCTGCCATCCTGGTGTAATACCCTCCACACACACACCTCTGGTGACCTATTTGCACACATCCTCTTCCTCTAGTCTTCTAAGTTGAGGGATAGGGGACATTTCCATCCCAGGTTTCTCCCTTAACCCAGCCCTAACATTTTGAGGGCACTTGAGGGGTGGGGGGAGCAAAGGGACTGGATCTTTACTTCTTGGGTTAATAAAATTGGTTTTGTGGACCAAGGAAGGGTGAGATCATTCTCACACAGGTAAACTTAGTTTTGGGGGAATCACCCCTATTTTGCCATAAAGGGGCAGGGGAGACTAACCTGTAGTTATGGGGACAGCCCCAGCAGTCGTTTGCTGTGACTCAGAGAGGGGGAGCCCCACCCACAGAGGATGACTCAACTGGCCCTGCCTTGCCCGCAGGCCTGGACCCATTCTCTGGTCTGGATGGCTCTATTCCATTACTCAAATTTGACTAGTACACTTGAGGACCTAAGCCTGCAAACACCACTATGGAGAGGCTGGGCTAACTGGCCACATGGGTCTGAAGCAGGTGCTTAGTCTTGGACATGGAGGCAAACAGCTCAAAATTCCTGTACTTTGTAGTGCGCCTCAGCCCTCCTGCTCCCAACCCCAAGCCAGGATAAAGGAGTCAAGTCACAGTGCCTGTCCCCCAGTCTGACACCCAAGCTCAAATCACACCGCACCTTGTTAGTAGAATCTTTTTTATTCAGAAAAAAACCCCCAAAAAACAAAAAAGTTTTCCAACCACACACAGGAGGGGTATGGGTAGGGGGAGGTGTCTGTCCATCCAGCCCCGGCCCCCAGCCCATGTGGTTTTGGCAGCAATAAGGGGTATGGGGTAATGGCCCAAAAAATAAAAATGGTGTATGTGTGTATGGGAAGGAGAGGGGTGCAAAAGCTGTGGGGAGTGGTGGGGGAGAGGAACAGATGAGGTCAGTACTGGGAACGCCGCAGGTGGGAGGCCATTTCATAACATTTCTTGTTGATCAAACCGCCGTGGACACCTTCTTTGCCCATCAACAGGACTAGCGCTGGAGAAAGAGAAAGGAGGCTAGGACCCAGGTGTCACAATTTCACCCCCTGCCAGCTGTTCAGCAGCTGTCCAGCCCTGGGGGCTGTAACCCAACCTCATGCCTCCCAACCCCCCACACACAGGCAGGCTGTCAGTCACCCTGAAACAATAGGGCTTTTCAAAAGGGGAAAATCAAGCTTAAAGGCTGGAGAGGAACAGACTAAAATTTAGGGGTCAAAGGCTCATAGACTGCTGACTCATGTGTGTTCAGGCTAGAAATGGCTGTGGATAAGCCTGCCACCTCCAAGTTTTAACAAAAGACCTCAAAAGAAGAGAGCTAAATGCTGACTTAAAACCTTAACAATACCTACTCCAAGAAAACAAGTTTCTAATCTGCAAAGGCTCAAGGCAGGAAGGAACTCAAGAGGTAATGCAGTTCAATACTTTATATTACAACATGAGGAACTAAGACAACTGGAGGGACCAAGGTCCCAGCACACAGCAGGCTGGGTGTAGAATGCTGGTCTGATTCTTCACATTGGGGAACACACACAAAAAGAACCCAAATAACGGAAAGAGTAGGGATCTCAGAGCCACAGAAAAGATAAGACTCAGAAACTCACTCTTGGCAGTCATGGTGACAGTGATGTTGAAGGTGGGAGCTCCACCGGTGCTCTTGGTACGAAGATCCATAGTAAATTCCCCATCCTGCAGCAGTGAGTCCCGGATCACAGAACATTTCTGGCCCCCAAGTGTCAGCCCATTCACAAAAAAACTTGACCGGTCTTTGCCAACCAGGACACCAACCTCAGCTGGCTGAAAGAGGAACCAGGCACCCAGCAAGTGAGTCAGTACACCAACAGTCCCACCTTGTTCTCTAAGGACCCACCTGCCTTCCACTTCTCCAGGAAATAGAGCACCCAGCAGGGAGAGATGTATGCCATATGCCTGTATACATCAATGAAACTTGAGACACTTAGGACTTTGTGAAGTTAGTCCAGAAAAAGATAATGATCCCCAAACCTAGAAAATGGGACCACGGTGGAAAGGATGACATACTCCTCTGAAGAGGTAGAGATCTCGGGGTATAACAGGGAAAGTCAACCCAGGAAATAAAGGGGGCCAAAAGTCAGTAAGGAGTGGGGAGTCTCAGAACTCTCCTTCAGGAAAAGCAGAAGCGGACAGGGGAAGGGAGGGGGCGGGCAAAGCAGGAGAAGCAACTTTGCCCTTATTTGGTCAAAGGTTCTGCAGGAGTTGTTAGGGGCCCGGACGCCTGGGTCTCCAAGTAACCTCGAGTTTAGGTCCAGGTATCTATGCCCAAAGATGAGGAAGCAGACCCCTGGGGGCTTTCTGGGAAAGTTGGAAAACTTTTGAAGGGGAACAGGGGCTAGAACCTGCAAGCCAGCTCTTGGGTCTAGATACCTCAGGGAACCTTTCTTCCCCCCCTTACACCCCAAGCCCCCACATCCGGTCCCCTCCCGCCCGGAAACCCCCTTTCCCCCCTTTTGAACTTCCGCTCCCCCTCCCCACTTCCGGGCAGTGTGGACAGGGGAGGTGGTGGTGGGGACAGCAGTAGTCATCCCTTATTCCTTCACTTACACTATCTTAGAACTTCTCACAAAGTTCCCCTGCTCCAGGCCCCGCCAGATGGCGGGAAGGGAGGGCGAGGGGACTTCCGGGATTGGCCTCATAGGAATGTTGAGTCCAACGTGCCGAGTTAGGGGGATGTGTGGCGGCCTCGCCCTCTCTAACGGAGCTGGGAGGGGCAGGGAGCCCACAGAAGACGGGCATGAGACCAAGGCCACGCGCCTGGGGCTCCCTCGCGCATAAGGGGGAACAATGATGGAGGGGGCGCAAGCTGGCGGCCGGAAGGGGAACAGGGGGTCCGAGGGTCCCCAAGACCTGGCTCGAGCACAATCCCCAGTTAAAATTTGCAGCGCGTACCCGCCCCGCCCTGGAGGAGGCGGAAGTGGGCCGCCGCACCGGGCGGCGCGCCCCTCCCCGCCCTGTGCCCCGGATGTAACGCCCCGTCGCGGGAAGCGGGGCGGCGGGCGGGATGGGCGCCGCCGCCTGGGGCGTAGGACTTGAGGGGCAATGAACGGACCCGCTCACGTGCAGCCGCCATTCACGCCGCTTCCAGGGCAAGGACCTGATCAGGGCCTTTCGCTGCCCTCCCTAGACCGCGCCCGCCCACACCCAAGTCCCTCCCAAAGGGTCCAAGCCTGACCAGTGCCCCGGACCGCCAGGCCTCGCAGTACCGTGATGTTGACGAAGGTTTTCCCGGGGACGGCGGCCCAGACGGAGGGCGAGTCCTTGTAGCCCACGATGGCCGCGTCCTGACAGTTCCCGTCCGCCATGAGGTTGTCGATGTAGGCGTTCCACCCGGCCATGGCGCTGCTACTGGGGCTGCTCTCGGCGCTGCTGCTGGGCCCACGGGCTGGGCTCGGGCTGCCTCGGGCTGGCGGGCGGGGGGAGGCGGAGAGCTCGGGGCACGCGCTGCCGTCCGGACCGCGGCTCTGCTAGCTGTGCAGCAACCCTCGCACCGCCACTTCCTGCTCCTCCCCCCCGATTTTTATTTGCAAAGGGCGGTAGGGGCGGGGCCTGCTCCCCATTCCCTCCCTACCCCCTCGCCTGCCCAGACACCGAACTTTGCAAATGCAATTTTAAAAATCCCTCCCCCTATAGAAAAATTTGCAGAGTTCGATGGAAAGCAATGTAAAAGGATGGGGGGTGGCGGAAGAGAGGCTAAGGTTAGGGCCTGCTCCAGTTCTCAGTGAACATAAACCCGACTTTGGTACAGGGGAAGGTAGTGAGCCAGAGGAAGGAAGGAAAGAAAAAGGAGGAAGAATTAGCAAGCTGCAAATTTAGCAAATTAAAGAGTTCGGGGAACCCAGGGTTAAACAGAACGACTCCTCCTTCCCCCCACCTCCGCTGGAGGGAAGGACCGGCGGGCGGCGGCGGCGCGTGCGCCCGCGCCTGCGCCCGGGCCGGGAGGGAGAGCGCGTGGGGCGTTTGGGGCCGGCGCAGGCTGCACGGGCGCGCGTCGGGCTCGACCGACTCAGACCGCCCTGGGAAGGAAGGCGAGCCCTAGGACGTGTCTCCTGCCTGACGGAAGGGGCGGGGGCGAAGGCGTGCGTGCTGCCGCCTCTCCATCCTTAACTTTACTTATTCAAGAAAGCAAAGGGGAATTTGACAAAATACCCGAGTCATTCTCAGAGCTGAAAGAACCCACCGGAGCTCTGCTGTCCACAGCGTCTGGCCGGGGTCGCACAGGTTGGGTTCATTCGGGCCCATCCCCACTCCAGGAGATTATGCCTACTCTGGATCTTCTCCAGCCCACGGCCTCATTCCACGTCCCAGCCCCACCCGTCCCAGGCCAGCAGTTTGGGTCACCGGCTGTGCCCCTTGGCCCGTCTCTGCAGAGGTCACTGAGAGCGGGCGCGGGACGAGACGGGCGGGGCCATTTTTCAAGGCGGAAAAGTACTAAAGTTCCAAGATTGACAACTTATCAAAAGGGGAAAATCCCTTCTACTTTGAGCTCGTTGGTTTTTTTCTTATTTTCCAGTAAAATCTGTGCTAAGTACTTGAGTGCGGTTAGTTCGCTGGGCGCCCATCGGGAAGGGGTGTGGCAGGTGGGCTTAGGAGACCAGCCCCCTGCAGACTCCTATGCTCTGAGGGGCTTGGCTGCTTCCGGTCCCTCCCGCGTGGGGGCGCCGGGGTCAGGCAGCGCCTCCCGGGCGGGAAGGGGCTTCGTTCTGTCTCATCCTCCGGAGCAAGGCGTGCATACCTGGCGTCCACTCCGAAACCCGGGGCCCCCGACGCCCCCCGAGCCCGTGTTCCTCGACAGCCGCGCGTCTGAGTCACTGGCGGGCTCGGGCGGGGCCTCTCTCTGGCACGTGGCGGCGCTCCCCGCGCGCCGTCTCCTGACCTCTGGCCTGCCGCACCCCCACCCCAGGGTGGAAAAATCCCGGGAGGGAGCGGCCAGCGATAAGGGGGAAGGGCACGCTGGAAGACGGGGGTGGGGACCCGGTAGTGCTCCTGGGGTGGGGGCTGGGAGACACTGCGCAGGGCAGGCGGGGCGGGGAGGAGAGCTGGGGACAGGGCCACCGGGGTGAGTCACCCAGCGCGGGCCGCTCCGGCGCCGGCGGGAGGGGCCTCCGAGTCCCGGGCGAGAAGCCGAGGCGCCCCGTGACCCCCTGCCTCGGGTCAGCCCGCCGGGGCTGCGGCAGGACTCGGGGCAGACTTCGCACTGCCCCCAAACCCGCCAAGGCAGAGAGCTGCCGAGTGTAGAGACCCAGTTCCCTGCGGCGCCACAAGCGGGCCGACCGCCCCGCAGGCCCCTGGCGCTCGGACGCTCACAAAGAGCCGTCCCTCCTTCCGTCCATTCATTTTTTTTTTCCAATCCTGATTCAACGCCATTCATTGATGGGCTGGGGCCGCGCCCCGAAGCGCCCACAGGCTGTGGGGAACAGGGCTCCTGACCGACTGTCTCCCCGCTGGGCGACAAGTGCTGTCCCAGCGGTTATCAGTCGGGCGCCGCGCCAGCTCAGAGGGCCGGTCTAAATTCGTCTCCCAGTGCCCTCACTCACCCCCCGCGCTGGCCGGGAGAGGGCTGGATGGGGTGGCCCCGGGAATGGCCATTATGAGGATCCTGAGAGGTGAGACCCTCTCGCTGTTTGCGTGGGGGCTTCAGGTTTAGACCTCAGAGCTTTCCAGATTCCCCGCCCCGCCCCACACTGAGGGCAGAGGCCCGCCGGGTGAGCTGAGCCTGTGTGGATGTCAATCCTGCAGCCCCTCTTCCAGGCCCCCTCCCCAGCCCTGCAGGGCTCAGGTTACCCCTGGCCTTTCCTAAAGGGCACTCCTTCCTCTTCAACCTTTGCAAAAGGGGAGGGGGGACAGCCCCCCCCATCTGAAGCTCCTTCCTGCCCCTCTCAAAGGGTAGAATTAAAAGTGGAGACCTTTATTGGAGGACAGAGAAAGTGTGGGGGGTTCATCGACCTTTGGTGAGGGGGCCAAAGGCTTCTGCTTTTAGGCTGTAGTGGGCTCTTGGCTGCCAGCCCAGTGTAGAGGGGGTTGGATGGAGAGAGAGAGGCGGGGCTCACTGGGGACAGGGTGGCTAGCAGATAAATGCCCAGGCTGAGACAGGGTGAGCTGACACTGTCCCAGCTGCCACCTAGACTCGGAGCTCCATCCAAGCCCCCACCGAAGACATCCCAGGTCTGGTGAATCTTCCAGCCCCAGCGGGTGGAGGGGGCAAAAGGTGTGCATGGTGCTGGCTTGAAGAAGGGTGGGGGGAGATTTTAGCTTTTTTCCTCCTGGGACTGGGGGTGCTTGAAGAAGACTGGCTGGGTGGAGCAAGCAGGATGGGGCACGCTGTGGGAGCACCCAAGGATCTCGGGAAAGGAGGCTGTGAGGAGAGGCAGCAGGGATGGATATGGAAGGGCAGGTAGGGAATTGGGGACCCACAAGGATTTGGGAGCAGAAAAATGAGAACCCAAAAGGGTTTGAGGACCAGGAGGCCATGGAGAATAGACTGCGTGACCAGAAAGGTGGAAGGAGAAGGCACAAGTGCAGCTTTGGGGAGGTGGGGGCTCAGGGAGTTATAAAGGAGAGGCCGCTGGATTCTTAAGATGGGAGGGTGGAATAGGAGCTGTTCTGCATGGGGGAGGGGGCTGTGCCTGCCTCTTTGGTCTGTGACCTTTTTGTGGGGTATTTTTAGCTCTAGCACCTGCCTTCTTGGAGTGGGGAAGACTCTTAAAGGGCAAGGGATTTCTGGTTCCTTAAGGGATCAACTGTCCACACTCACTCACACCTCTTGTCCTGCAGCCATGGCCATGCAGAAAATCTTTGCCCGGGAAATCCTGGACTCCAGGGGCAACCCCACCGTGGAGGTGGATCTGTACACAGATAAGGGTAACACAGGCCCATTGAATTCGTTTGCCTCAGAAGACCCCAACCCCATGTGTCCTCCACCCAACTCTGTGCCACATCCTCTCCTTTCTCTGGGGTCCCCTTCCTCAGACTTCTTCCCAGGCCAACCTAGCTCCAGAGCTGGGAGCTGGGAAAAGCAGGAGTCTCTCTGTGCTCTATCTTCTGTCCCTGGGCTCAGGGAGGGTACCTCAGCCATTTGGGGGCTGGAGGGTGACTCTCCATGATCTTCCCATTCCTCCTGCCCCAGGCCGATTTCGAGCAGCTGTGCCCAGTGGGGCTTCCACAGGCATCTATGAAGCTCTGGAACTAAGAGATGGAGACAAATCCCGCTACCTGGGGAAAGGTGAGGAGAGAGCAATGGAGAAGGAGCCTGTGTGGGTGGTTTTAGGACATGGGCACAGGAAGGGTGGAGGACTGGAACCCAAAGCTTCTTGAGGAGCTGGGGTCCATAGGAAGAGGCCTGATTGATTCGGAGATCCCAACCCCCTCCCTCTGGCCTCTCTAGGAGTCCTGAAGGCTGTGGAACACATCAACAAGACTCTAGGCCCCGCTCTGCTGGAAAAGGCAAGTGGGGAGCCTGCTCCCCACACCTCCTCCCCATGCCCCAGGCAGCCCCCCTCCCCCACATATTTGCACTTACCCTTCCTGCTGCACATGCCCTGACTTCTGAGAAATCTGACCTGTGCTCTTCCCTCCCCAAACCTGCCCTTCCAGAAACTAAGCGTTGTGGATCAAGAAAAAGTTGACAAATTTATGATTGGGCTGGATGGAACCGAGAATAAGTGTGAGTGAGGGGCTAGAGGAGGAGAAGCGATGCGGTGTGGGAGGGGTGGGGAGAGAAGACCACAGGGGCTGGTGGGTGGCCGGGGTTATTTCTGTGTCCCACATTTTGGGGCACTTGGTAGCTGGATTTTATTCATTCCACAGGCATTTCCTCTGTCTGCCGTCTGCCAGGCCTGGGCCTGGCTCTGGATACAGCTCACACATTTCCCCGGGGTGGGGGCTCCCAGGCGGCAGGGTAGAGATCTGCTAACAAAATCTTAACGCCCAGTGGTTAGCAGCTCTGGATTCTTTCTGGGGCGACCACAGGGGATGTTCAAAGAGATCACTCCAAACCCTGCGGGAGAAGCTCTCACCCTTTCTTCTTGCTTGCCTCCTTCCAGCCAAGTTTGGGGCCAATGCCATCCTGGGCGTGTCCTTGGCCGTGTGTAAGGCAGGAGCAGCTGAGAAGGGGGTCCCACTCTACCGACACATCGCAGATCTCGCAGGGAACCCTGACCTCATACTCCCAGTGCCTGTGAGTGCAGCTGCCCCAGCCAGATCTCACCTTGACCAAGCTCTGCCACCCAGTGAGGGGTGCTTAAGAAGCCCCTTGGAAAATCCACCTTCCAGACCCAGCTCCAAAGAGGCAGTTTCCTGAAATCCAATCTCTCCTACTGTGGTCCAGCCCCTCCCTCTTTCCCACAATCCAAACCTTCCCTTAAGCCTCTCTCTGCTGACTTCCCCTGCCATGCGACCCGGTTCCTTCACATTCCGATCCCAGGCTCAATAACTCCAACCTCATTCCGCCCCTGCACCCCACCCCCCAAATCAAACTGAGAACTTCTTCTTCACGGCAAGGATGTCAGCATTTCTTTGTATCTTCTTGAGTCTTTATTAAACTAATGCCCTCTTAATGGAAACCCTTTGAATTTAATCTCAATAATAATGTTACCATTTTTTGTTACTTATTAGGAAGATTGTATAAGAGCGTGGACTCAATAGAGACAGACTGTTGGGTTCAAATCCTGGCTCTGCCTGTTCACTAGTTGTGGTGATTTTAGGCAAGTTATTTAACCTCTCTATGCCTCCATTTCCTCATCTGTAAAATAGGGAGGGAGTAATAATAGTACCTAGTTAATAAAAGTGTTTTGAGAATTAAATGAGCTAATGTATGTATGCCAAGCACTTAGTACAGTGCCTGCCGTGTAGTAAGTGTTGTAAAAGTGTTAGCTCTTATATACCAGGCACATGCTAAGAACTTTACATCCACTTTCTAGAATTTTTAGCAAAAGATCCTGCAAGGAAGTAGATGTTGCCTCCTTCCAAGTTTGCTGTCCCCATTCTATAGAAATGTGGAAAGAGGCTCTGAGGAGCAAAAGTACTCACCCTAGACCACTCAGCTAGTAAGTAGGGAAGCCAGGATTCCACCTCCACCCCTCATGCCCCAGCCCAGGTCTGAGCTCCTTCTCCCTTTGCAGGCTTTCAATGTGATCAATGGGGGTTCCCATGCTGGAAACAAGCTGGCCATGCAGGAGTTCATGATTCTGCCCGTGGGAGCCAGCTCCTTCAAGGAGGCCATGCGCATTGGAGCCGAGGTCTACCACCACCTCAAGGGGGTCATCAAGTCCAAGTATGGGAAGGACGCCACCAACGTGGGTGATGAGGGCGGCTTTGCACCCAACATCCTGGAGAACAATGAGGGTCAGTGCTGAGCACCCTGAGGGGCAGACCCCCTAGGTTCCCCCACAGGAAGGGGGGCTGTAGACAGGGGGCACTGGAGTATCAGGTCCTGTCTTGCTCCTCTTCCAGCCCTGGAGCTGCTGAAGACAGCCATCCAGGCGGCAGGTTACCCAGACAAGGTGGTGATTGGGATGGATGTGGCAGCCTCTGAGTTCTTTCGCAACGGGAAGTACGATCTTGACTTCAAGTCACCTGATGATCCCGCACGGCACATCACTGGGGAGAAGCTGGGGGAGCTGTACAAGAGCTTCATCAAAAACTATCCTGGTGAGGCTCCCAGGTGTCCCGGTGTTCCTGCCTGACTCCCCTGCAACTGCCTAATGTGATTTCAGTGTTATCCCCATCGTAATCCCCATCCCAGCTCTTCAGACCTGTCACCCCTGCTTGAGGCTCCTTCTGACCTCTCGCCCCATCTCTGCTCCCAACCCCACCAGTGGTCTCCATTGAGGACCCCTTTGACCAGGATGACTGGGCCACTTGGACCTCATTCCTCTCGGGGGTGGACATCCAGATCGTGGGGGATGACCTCACAGTCACCAACCCGAAGAGGATTGCCCAGGCCGTTGAGAAGAAGGCCTGCAACTGCCTGCTGCTGAAGGTCAACCAGATCGGCTCGGTGACTGAATCCATCCAGGCGTGAGTGCCTCCTGACCCTGGTGCTCACCATGCCTCCCTCTGCCCTTGCTCTGCCCAGTCCAGCTACAGTCTTGCCAACTAACTCCAAGTCTACCTTTCCCCTGGCACCTGACCCACCCACACCTTTCCAGCCTCCCAGGCTGTGATTAACCCTCGGCCTGACCCCAAGAGCTTGCCACTGTGGCCCTGCCATGGCCCTACGCCCAGCCCATGCCATCCCTTTCCCCTAGATGCTGCCATTCTTCCCACCACCATCTCAGGAGCCCAAATTCAAGATCAGAAATCTCTTCTCTCCTTCCCAAAGAACCTAGTCACTGCCTCCCCTGCCAAGTGCCCACTACCCAAAACAGAAGGGAAAAGCTTCACCCAGCTCCTGGCTTTGCCACTGAGGAAGTTCCGTAAGGCCTCATGAAATGTCCTCTCTATCCAGCTGCAAACTGGCTCAGTCTAACGGCTGGGGGGTGATGGTGAGCCACCGCTCCGGGGAAACTGAGGACACATTCATCGCCGACCTTGTGGTGGGGCTGTGCACAGGACAGGTACTTGTGGCTTCCCTCTACTGAGTGTCTGGCCAAATTTTCTTGGGGTCCCTGGCCTCCCGCCCAAGTTGAATGCCACCATAGGCTGCTCCCTTGGGGCCAGGCCCAACCCCTCCTCTCCAGCCTCATTCAAATCCCTCTTCCCTCCTCAGATCAAGACTGGCGCCCCCTGCCGCTCGGAGCGTCTGGCCAAATACAACCAACTCATGAGGTACAGAGGGTACAGAGGGCCTGGGCCAGGGAGAGCAGGGGGCTGCTGGGTGGGAAGGCAGCAACTCTGACTTTGTTTGCATTCCAGGATTGAGGAGGCTCTTGGGGACAAGGCTATCTTTGCTGGACGCAAGTTCCGTAACCCAAAGGCCAAGTGAGAAGCTGGAGGCCCCCCCGGCCCCACTGGACAGATGAGGCCTTCTAGCCTTTCTTCCTGAAATAAACACTGGTGCCAACCAAGACAGTGGTGTGCTCCTTTGTGGGAGGGAGGGAGGGTATGTTGGTCTCTGGGCTGGGAAAGGCAGGGGGTGGAGAGATGGGGGCAAGAAGGGGAGGCAAACAGACATGTATTCTGCTGGGCCAAAGAAGAGGTGAGGGACTCTGTCAGAGAGGGCGCTGGGTGGATCTAGAACAGACTTCACGTTTTAGAAGGAGGATGGGGGAAGCAAATGCCATATGTGAAATGAAGCTGAAGAGGTGCTGATGGAACAAGAATCGGCTCCAGGAGGAGGGGAGCAGGGTGTGGGGCCTGGGGGCCTGCCACTCCCATAGGGGGGAAGCTGGAGTGGGCCTGCTGCAGGGTTGGAGTGGTCTGCAGAGCGCACCGTGGAGTGAAGGCTGCAGTCCCAGTGAGTGCTTTGTCAGGGTCAGAGTGTTTTGTTTTGTCTTTTTTTGAGACAGAGTCTCACTCTGTTGCCTGGGTGAGTGCTATGAGGTCAGCGTAGCTCACAGCAACCTCAAACTCCTGGGCTCAAGTAATCCTCCTGCCTCAGCCTCTTGAGCAGCTGGGGCCACAGGCATGTGCCACCACACCAGACTAATTTTTTCCATTTTTAGTAGAGACGGGGTCTCGCTATTGTTCAGTTGGTCTTGAACTCCTGAGCTCAAGTGATCCTCCTGTCTCTGCCTCCCACAGTGCTACGATTACAGGCATGAGCCACCACGCCAGGCTGAGGGTGACAGCGTTAATGACAGCAGTTACCACTTCTAGGAAGCTTATGAGGATCTGGAACTGTTCTAAATATTTGACATATATTAACCTGTGCAATCTTTGAAACAGTCCTATCAGATAGTTACCATTATTATACAGATTACAGATGAAGTAACTGAGGCAAAGAAGGTTCAATACCTTACCCAAGGTAACAGAGTTAGCAACTGGCCACTTGGCTTCAGTGATTGCCCTCTTAACATACTGCATCTTATAAATCCCTATGATAGTGCCAACAATTGGCTGTCTTTGACCTACACAAATAGAAATTTTACTGTTCGACCTAAAATCATTCCATTTCTTCTCTGCCAGTGGCTCCAGGACCTACCTTTCTGTGTATAAAAAATCAGGACATTGGGTCAAACAGTGTTTATTGAATGTAAAATAACTCCAGCCCCATGGGGAAGAAAATTCCAAGGAGAATGGAGGATAATACAGATTAAATACCCACCTGTGCATTCACACTCTCTTTCACACGACACACACACACAGCACATACATATCCAAGCTCCAACAGTGACAAACACCTGCTTCCCCCCAGCCTGAGTGACAGCTGGTCAGAGGTGGTTCAGAGGTGGGGCTCCAGGATGGGTTCTAATAGCAGCAGCCTTGTCCCTCCCTGCCCCAGGGGTCAAAGGGAGCTAGGTGGGGTGCCTAGGAGGTAGGTGGCAACTCTTCCCCGCTCTGCCGCAGACGCTTCTTGGCTCGGATCTCATTCATGGCCTCTTCAATGGAGCGTGTGTCCCTCTTGTTGGCCACAGGCACTAGGGGCAGAGGGGAGGGTGGGGAGGGCCCAAGAGCCCTGTGCCTCGGCCTCCACTTCCCTCCCCCCTACCCTATCCTCTTCTTCCCAGCCACCCCGAAGCCCACACCATGGCCTCACCACAGCCGTAGGTCTTGTTGGCCTGCAGCATGTGGGCTGCATCCTTGGCTGCTCCCTTGCCAATAAGGTGGCTGTACTTGTCCTTGTAGTCGCTGGCAGGGCTCACTACCACAGGTCCCTGTTGGGCTGCCTCCTCCTCCTGCCGCTGGGCCAGCTCCTAGGGGGGTGGAGGTGGGGCACTGGTGCTCAGGGGCCAGACCCCAACCCCTCCCAGGTGGTGGGCTTCAGGGGCTACCAAACATAGCTCACCTTCAGCTTCCGTTTCTCCTCAGCTTTCTGGGGGTCCCATTCCTCTCCACGACGGTAGGAGTCCAGCTCTTCATCTGAGGGTGCAAACTCCTGGAAAAAAAAGGGAATGATGGGGTCAGGGTCCATATAAATGGTTAATCTCATTCCTCTCCCTGCCAGGGGGTGTGGGAACAGGCTGAGAAGGGGAGAGGAGACAATGAGGAACTCGGGCCTTTCACCTTTTTGAAGATCATGACATAGCGACACTCATCATCTTCCCCAAAGGAGAAGGATGTCAGGCCAGCCACTTCCACCACGTCGTGTCTGGGAAGGCAAAGTAGAGGGGAAAGAGTACTCTAACTTGAGCCATGAGGGAGTATAGCATCCACCTCTCCAGGGCCCCCTTCATGCCCACCTAGCCACCCATTTCCTGCCTCCCTCAGCCCAGAGACACTCACAGTATGCTCCTCTCTATCTTGTTCATTGGCTGAAACTTTTTCTTGATCTGCCCACTGTCTTGGATGAAATCTGACACTTCCTTCTCCATCTTGGAAGAGGGAAAAAGGAGGTAATATAAGACGATGGCTCCACCAAATGTCCCTCTCCCCAGGTGGCCCAATGACCCTTCTACATCTCCCTAACACCCTCTCCAGCCTCCAGGCCACTGGCTTTCAGGCTTCACCTCTTTGAAGACATTTTCAGTGAAATTGAGTCCTCAACCTTCCAATTCTAACTTATTGGAAGTCCTTCCTGAGGCTGCCTTCGATCTCTCCAGTTGTTCTCACCCTTTTACGAAACTCCACTTTCTGTTGTTTCTCTTGCTCTTGTAGTTTCTTCAGGCGGGCAGCCTGCTCTGGGGGTGAGAAATGGCAGCATGAGGCCAGGACTGGAAGCATGGGTGGGGAGGGTTTGTAAGGCTTCAAGTGAAGTCTGGTGTCCACTGGGAGGTGTCAGGCTGGGAAGGTAGGATTACTGTTTACTTACCAACTATTTATCAACATTTATTATGTACAGTGGTTCCCCTTATCTTCAGGGCACACGTTCTAAGACTGAACAGATGCCTAAAACCTCAGATAGTAATCTATGTATGTTTTTTCCTATACAGACACACCCATGATAAAGTTGAATTTATAAATTAGGCACAATAAGAGATTAACAACAATAATAAAATAGAACAATGATAACAGTATATCGTAATAAAAGTTATGTGAATATAGACTCTCTCTCAAAATATTTTATTGAATGTAATATTGTCAGAATACAGGTAACTAAAACCTTGGAAAGCAAAACCTTGGATAAGGAGGGACTAGTGTACTGGCCCGGTGCTAGACTGCTAGACGCTAGGGTACTAAGATGATTAAGACATGGTGTAGCTCTTTAAGAATTCAAAGTTTGGGGGGGGGGGGGGAAAAAAAAAAGAATTCAGAGTTTAGTGGGAGTGACAAAGATCAGAATCATGCTTAACCCTCTTTCCCAACTCTGCTAGGGAAACCAATGAACACTTATTTAATGCTCACCACATGCGAAGAACTATAAGGCATCTGGGGAGGTAAGGAGAAGAGACTAAGCCCCTGGCTTTCAAGAGTTTATCATCTCATTGTCTACATAGGAAAAGGGAAATTATTTAACTTCCTATATTTTGTAACACCCCTCACTTCCCACTTCTACGGACAGGATGAAGCTGTAATGACTAATATGACACCCTTCTCCTTTGGGAGTGTAGGTGTCCAAGGTTAGCTGCAAAGGAATCCTCCACCCTTGGGTCTTCCTTAACTTCCCTCTTCCTCAGATCCTGCCTCTGCAACAGATCTCCTCTGCCTCGGTAGAATGGGGGTGCATTTCTAACCTGGGCTGGGTGCATTTCTTGCCTGTCTTCTCTCATGATGTCATTTTACTGCTTCTTGAGATTTGGGCACATGCCTCTTCCTACTCCTGTTCGGCCTGAGATACCCCCTCTCCTCTCTTCTAGCATTTCAAATCCTTTAGATGCTTGAGGCCCATTTCTTCAATGGGCCTCTTTCCTTCCAGCTGTACTGAACTTCTTCCCATTTTTTAAATCTCTTAATGCCTTTGCACATGTTCCTTCTGTTTGGAATGCTTTTGTTCCTCTTGCTAATGTTCAGATTTGTCATGAGTCAGAGTTATTCATGTCTTCCTTTGGGCTCCAAGTGCATTTGGGTCTGACATCCACTACAGTGTGGACTGAGAACTAACATAATGTGTAATTTTTTATTTGTCTCCCCTAGTAGACTATAAGCTCCTGGAAGGCAAGGACCCTGTTCATTTCCTGTTCAGTTATCCTCTGGGGCTCCTAACAGCCTAGGAGCTCCTATTTCTCTGCCCTCACTGAACATCAGCGAATCCCATATTGGCCACTGACTGTTCTCTAACTGGTTTTTGAGTCTTCTTTGCATCTGGAGTGGTAGCATAAGATTATGGTTAAGAACACAGGCTTGAACAGAAACAAAAGAAGAATGTAGGCTTGGCCGGAAGCGGTGGCTCATGCCTGTAATCCTAGCACTATGGGAGGCTGAGGCGGGCGAATTGCTCAAGGTCAGGAGTTCGAGACCAGCCTGAGCAAGAGCAAGACCCCGTCTCTACTAAAAATAGAAAGAAATTAATTGGGCAACTAAAAACATACAGAAAAAATTAGCCGGGCATGGTGGTTCATGCCTGTAGTCCCAGCTATTTGGGAGGCTGAGGCAGAAGGATTGCTTGAGCCCAGGAGTTTGAGGTTACTGTGAGTTAGGCTGACACCACGGCACTCTAGCCTGGGCAACAGAGTGAGACTTTGTCTCAAAAAAAAAAAAAAGGGGGGGGGGAGAGGGGCGGGTATATACATACATAATGAGTGAGATGTGCACCATCTGGGGGATGGTCATGATGGAGACTCAGACTTGTGGGGGGAGGGAGGGAATGGGCATTTATTGAAACCTTAAAATATGTACCCCCATAATATGCCGAAATAAAAAAAAATGCTAAAAAAAAAAAAAAAAGAACATAGGCTTAATAGTCACACCTGGGTTTGAAATTCTGCCATTTACTAACTATATGACCTCAGGCAAGTGACTAAACTCTGAACTTCAGCTTCCTAGTTTTTCAACTGCTGCTGGTGATCCCCCACCTAAACAGTCATTGAGCAT